TGATCTTCAGTATCAAAAGCAAAATATTTTTGTTTCAGTGGGCAAGATGTAGTAAGTTCGGTAGAAATCTCCACCCATTCTGATCCTGAAGCAAACAAAGCTTCCGATCACACGACCTGATATAAAGAGAAAAATGTATAGAACATGTTGTAATGCATCAATTCCTTGTCATGAAAAGATAAATGCATGAATTTCCTTGTGCTGTCTTGTTGTATCTTTCTAGATATATAATTAATTAAAGAAGTGTCAATCATTGTAATCTTGATCCTTGGCACATCACAGAATGAGAGGAGGAGTGGAATATATCCAGTTGACTGAACAAATTCATCCAATTTTTCAATCCCTGACAAGAAGAGTGGATTAACAAGGCAAGTTGAGTCTTTCTACTTCGATGTATAGCCTGAACTGGACTGATTCAATGACCTTAATTAGTTGTTTTGTTCCTTTTCCAATCTAAATCAACCGGCGCTGGTGAGTGGTAAATGACTGCATCTATATGTATTCGAAAGTTGTTTGATGCATGCATTTCGAGAGCCTTGCACGCCGTTCTCGAGAAATACGATCACGAGCATGTTTGGAATTTTGGAATATTTTAAAATGCAAAAAATTATTATGTTAATTGTATAGGAAAATCTCAAATACCCCCAAGTACATAGGGTTCTTGATCGAGTCCCTGCATTTTTTTTAACAGTTTGGGCAAAAACCTTATAAAATTCGAAATACTTGAAGGCTATAACATCGTAAACAGTTTCTCAGCTGTCGTATTATTTCATACACCCAAACCATTATCTATAGAGATAGTATTTAGCTTCCTAAATATTAGAATGATGCAAAAACAATATTCCATTTTAAGAATTTCCAACATTAATATTTGTTCATCTTGACATGAAATTAAAAGGCTCAAATTTAAAATTAATTATCCAAGGACTAGTAAATGTATGTTTCCTCTCTAAAAAATCTTAATGTATGTATTAGAGGGGAGAGAAGATAGCATAGTAAATCTATGTATTTTTCAAATTTTTACATTCGAGTAATCAGGAAAAAATATTAAAAATACATAGCCACTTTGGAGAGAGAATTTTTTTTCCTAATTTAGTTAATTTATTATTTTTTATGATATTAAAAAGGCATTAAAACCTAACTTAGGAATCAGTAAGTTTATAAAATGAATTGTTAATTAGGATTTTAACGTTCCTATTATATTTATAAAAAAAATGAGAAAAAATTAATAAGTTAATAAGATGAATTTTAAGCCGGATTTCAATACCCTTTTTATATTCTTGTGAAGATTTAAAAATAATGAAAAAGAGGGAAATTTCTTGTCATAACGGAGTTTTACACGGCGTCGCTGCCGCATCCTGTTAGCTCCACATTCATATATCCAAAATTTTACTTGATTGCAACAATTTTTAAAGTCAACATATCAATTTGAAAAAGAATTGAAAAAATTTACAAATTAAATACAGCATTTCAATTTTAGAGGGCCATGAACTCCTAGTTTTTGTAAAGTTGCAGCAAACCCTTATATATTTATGTAATATGTGAAATACCACCGTATAGATGCCATGAATCACTGTAGTTTGGACAAAGGATTCATTGTTTTACCCTTAAAAAATCTACAAAGATTAATTTGGTTTTTAAAGGTAAAATGATATTTTTCATGAGATTCATTCGTTATTCTAAAATTATCTAAGAGCATTTTGGTTTTTTTTTTATATAATTTTTTTGTAATTTAATTTATCTTGTCATCCTCTTTCTTCACAGACAATGTTTCGAATTCACATATTAGCCTTTTAAATTATTTTTTTTGAATTTGGTCCCTTTTTTATTTTTTATTTGTTTTATTTTTATTAATTTTTTTTAATTTTTTATATTTCATCTTTTATTTTATTTGTTTCTCAATTTTTTTAATTGTTGTTTTTTTTATTTAAGATAAATTTTGAATTTTTTTTCTAATATCACTCTCCTTTTTTCTTTCTTTGAGACTTGATGATCATTTTTTTTATTGTTATTTTTTTGATGAATTTTTTAAATTGATATTTTTTTTTATTAATTTCATCATTTAATATTAAATTGATTGAGAATTAAGTTTTTTAATTGAATTAGGTTTATGATTTCACAAGTTAAAAATTTTAAAAATTAACTCAAATTCAAAAAAATTATTTTGATTAATTACTATGAATTGAAATAGTTAATTTATCGCTTTAAAAAAAATTTTACACTCACCCTCCTTCAATTACTGTGGATTAGATATTTTTAAATTGATTGAGGTTGCTAGTTTCTTTTTACAATTTTCTTGCATAGTTCAATTACTATAATAAAATTAAAAACAAAACAATACTATACTTTGATCTAGGTTTTGTATTTTTTTTGAAATTTCACTTAGCACAATATAAATACTTTATTATTCTTAAAATCAAAACCTTAAAGCTTGATTTTAGGGGCTTATTCATAATCTTATATTTTTTTTTGTGGTTACAATCATTTGGTCTTAGGAGTAGTTTGAAATTTTAATCGTCATCAATAATAATTTTAAAAAATTATTGGAGCGTGTAAATCATTTCATTGTCATCAGGCCAATGACGAAACCACATAGGAGCAAGAGGGGGCAATTGCCCCCTCGCCCTCTAAATTAGCAAGCCTCCAGCAAGAGAAGCATTTGATGGCGAGGTAAAAGCACAAGGATGAATGCCCTTAGTCATCTCTTTGATAATCCGATTCAACAATGCTATTTTTTATTTCATTTTAATTATTTCATGATATAAAGCTGTGTTATCTTTTTAAATGATTTATATAAATTAATAGTAGATAAATCAACATCTGAATTAAATAAAATATAAGGATTTAATAGCTAAATCAAACGTAATATAATAATAAAAAAATTAATCAAAACTAATATAAAATTGTGTTACTTTTTTATTTGTTTCATTATATAATTTTAGTTTTATTTCTTTATAATTAGTTATTGAAAATGTTAGAGTTTATAATAATTTATGGGTTTTTTGAATGTAATATGTGTATGGATAATATTATATGCTAATAGATATGAATTGAAATGAGTTTTGATGAATTAATAAGTATTTTATTATGAATTTCATATGAAAAATGATGATAATAAATTTATTCATGAATAAAAATAAAGTACAAGACAACTAAAAAAAATTAAAGATATAATAAATTAATTAAAAAAATATTTAATATTTATATTTAATCCACTTATAAATAACAACAAGTTAGCAAGAACAACATTAATTTGTGACAATCTTTTTAAGCTATGATTGTAGATGTTATGAACCATATATCATTATAGAATTGTTGCCAATGTAGATGTTATGTACCATATATCATTATAGAATTGTTGCCAAGAACTTTTGTAATCCTTAAAAAATTTAGAAATAAATAAATACTTTTTTTTTTGTATATATTGAGAAAGATATTTTTAATGAGATTAAAAATAAAATTATTATGAAATAGTTTTAAAATATTAAATCTCGAAGAGAATAATTATAATGTAAGTTTTTTATTTTAAAAGTATTCTTAAATTAATTTTGCTTAACTTGAGTTGATATATATTTTTCAAATTAATTTCTACATATAACATATGTATATATAATATATAATATATAATATTTGTTAATAATATGTCCCCTCATTTAAAAACTCCTAGCTCCGCTACGGCATCAGACAACGCGTGTGACAACTTAAAATAATAAAAAAATATCTTTTCTTAATATTTTTTGATTCATCTTGGTAGGACCAATGACAACTTAAAATGATAAAAAAATATATTTTCTTAATATTTTTTTATTCATCTTGATAGGACCAACTTCCCTGAATGATGTGTGCATGATGATTTCATCCGATTTAACTCTGGTGTTTTTTTTTCTCCTCCATAATTTGCATGTTGTTCCAAAGAAATTCACAACAATCATTCAAAATTTAAATTACAAGAATTTACCTAAAAATCATGCAACTAAAAAATTAATAATTTTTTTTTAAATTACTACTAGAATTCAAACCCAAATGAAACAATAAAACTTGTTAACCGGACGAAACCCACCAGGTTTATTATCCAAGGACTAAGAGTGATGAGGCTAGACCAAGGAGCAAGTGGATCGACATTAATGGAGGTAACACAGAGATGGAGTATAAAAAGTGTCAGCGAACCAAGTCCTGAAGGCTGATATGTCTCGAGCTCGCATTTGTGCATGAGACGACGGATGTACGTCCCGTGGAGTAGAAGGATAAAAAACTTGAATTCGTGAAGTCAATTTATCAAGCCCTCAAAGGGCTCCAATATGCAATTATATAAGTAATTAAGACACAATTAACTCTCATCTCTTCGAGAGTGTGGAGATGGTGGGCTCATATCATAAATATCGAGTGATTAATCATGATGGATTTTTTAATCCACCTCTTAATCACATCCTTGATCGATTTTATATACTATTTAATTTTAAAAAAATTACGGCATCATTTAATCAACAAGAATCAAGGCATGAAAAAAATAGAAAACCTCTAAAAATCTGTCTTAATTAGCCGATAATTATTTTTGGGTACTGGTGGTTAATTGATATAATACTCTACAAAGGAAAGTGGCATGATACTATCAACTTCATCACAGTCAACGACCCAGATCTACCCATTTGATTTACTTCTGTATCCTGCAAAGCACCAAAACCCTTACCGTAACAAACAGTTAATGGGTCCCGCAATTGCCGTTGGTCTTTCCCTCCATCTCTCCTTCTTCCTTCCTCACACCCTTGTCTTTCTCTACAACCCGTTTCACAAACAAAACCAATCATTTCTAATTATTAATTTTTTCATTCCCTTTCAAACCCTAACCCTAACCCTCATTTATAATTCCCATTTTACCCTCCATCATCCGCCAATCATTCCCATTTTACCCTTTTTCTCCCCTTGACCAGTAATTAATTCTTTTCGATCCTTTTTTCTTGAGCTTTTTTATTGATTTTAATGCTGGAACAAATAATGATGTTTTGACACCAGATCACTACAGTATCTCTCTTTTTTTGCATGGTTTTATATGTTTTTTAGGAGAGAATCTTGTGGGATTTAATTTGTGGATGCGAAAATGTCGAATTATGTTGATTACAATCAGAAGATTGATTATGTTTTCAAAATTGTCCTAATTGGAGATTCAGCAGTTGGAAAATCACAGCTTCTTGCGAGGTTTGCAAGAAATGAATTCACTGTTGATTCTAAAGCCACCATTGGGGTAGAATTCCAGACTAAAACGCTTGCTATGCATAACAAGACGGTAAAAGCACAGATTTGGGACACTGCTGGCCAAGAAAGGTGTGTGTTTTAGACACTTTCTCTTGATATTTTGTAATTGTATTTAAATTAGATCACTTGCAATGAGTTTGAGAATTAGATTTTTGAAGATTAAAAACCAGATTGGAAAATTTGTGCTTGAGAATGTGCAAGTCTAAAATAGATAATAGTGGCCTTGAGTTAATGAGCTTATAATTGAAGATATGGAATGACAGTTTGTGACAAGGTGTAACATTTACTTGTGGCATGGCTTCATAGAATTCTAATTAACATGAATAATCTAGAGGAGTCTCAGATAGATTGATGCACTGGTGAAAAATTATTTCGTCTCATGATTTGGTGGTGGATACAATATGCATCTACATATACATAGATTCAACAGGCTTCCTTGTTAGAGGATCAGGTTCAGTGCCAAGATCATGCCATTTGTTCCCAAGGTAAATATTATAGTTGCTGCTCAATTTTAATAACTTACGAGTACTATTCTATAGGTTGCATCTTTGCTACTTAATCCTCTAGTTGGACAGATCTTGTCTTGTTTGCACTCAGGGAAACAAGCGTAGGAAAAGGGATCATAAGGAAGAAAACATTAGAGGATGTCATGAATTCCCGTTCTGGTAGAATGAAAATGAGTATGGATTTCAGGAATTCCTTGTTAGGTTGGAGAACTAGAGCTGAGAGTTATAGACAGAGATACCAAGATTCAAATGACAGCTTTAGAAACTGAGAACTAGAGCTGAGAGTTATAGACAGAGATACCAAGATTCAAATGACAGCTTTAGAAACTGAGAATCTCAATTTCTTGTCCTATCATGATCTAGTAGAGAAATTTCTATCCGGTATAAGAATTCCATCTCCACATCCTTTTCTCATTCTCAAATTTAATGTTCGTTCTTTTGGGCTTGGTTCTTACTATCGTTTTCACTACAAGTCTACACCACTCGAGCAAATTCCCTTTCTTTCTCGCACAGATTCCTTGTGATTTCATATCTGAATAGAAGCTTATGTGCGGATGCTGCTAATTGTGGGAAGTTTATCAAAGAATGACCATTGCACCGGTCCTTTTTCTTAGGCCCTGTTGCTGTTTTATGTCATCTTTCTCGTTGCCGTGTAGTGTATGACTCTGTCTAGTTCGTTTGCTCCAGCTTAAAGGTTGGTTTGGCATCAATTGCAATGCCATGCTTCTGTTTTTCTTTTCTTATTGTAATCCAAACTTAGTAGCCATTGGTCTGCAACATCAAATTGTAGATAAATTAAGTGCTACAGAGGTGCATGCGTCTAGTGCCATCCATTCTTGACCATTAACGGTCTCGACCTCGAGCTTTGTCAATGCACAGTGCCATCCATTCTTGGCTGCTGTACCTATGGGCTGCCATTTCACATGAATGGAAACAACCCAACAATCATTCCTTTTTCACACATGTTATGTAATCATCCCAAACTTTTCAATTATCAAAGTCATCAGAACACATCATTTTCTTGTACTAAAGCATCATTGCAACTAAATAACCTAACATGCTATATCTAAAAGGTATTAGCGTTTGTCTTTAGGATATACCACATTTCCATTCTCAATTCATAATGATTAATTAAGTCTTTTACTGAAACTTACAATACTTATTTAAAAAAATATTTATTTTTAAATATAATATTCACTAATTGAATATTGTAGTGTGATCACAAGTTCATCATTCTAGGAATTTTTGCTCTCTGTTTCACCCTAAAAATTGCGTTTTATTTCTCCATTAGTCATTTGCTCTTCATACAAGTGTCCAACTGGCTCTCCTCCTTCATTATACGAGAATTCCATGAAAAGTTGAAAAGTTGATATACACATTGCTTTATACTCATTTTAGACACTCTATTCTATTGATTATCTATACACCTATCGTATCCATTAATATCCAGTTGTAACAACAGTTCTAAATTGATTTAAAATTAGGCTTACACAATGACCCTCACACCTTCTCATAAAGGTGTCTTTATTGCTTTTCAGAGAACGACTACACCTTTTTTTCTCTAAGATGCCATCAAGTGGTTCTAATATTCTTTACCAACATATATATTGTAAGAAAGATCATTACTATTGAATGTATGGAGTTTCTATGCATTTCAATATGCATTTCAATATTGAAGCGCTTACACCATTTCAGTATTTAAGATTCCAACTCTATCCACACCTTCAAACAAAGATGTCATTGTCTTTTTTTACAGGCAATCAAACCTCTTCAATTAGATAAAATATCTTATCTTTCCATTCTTTATATATATTGAAAAGATCTTCACTATTGTCTTCTATGATCTTAATATCATTGACTTAATAGAGGCAAAGATAAGGGGGTTGATAGGGCCTCGATTCTTGTAGGAATATTTTTTCTAACCTTGCCTTAGACAATTCATAGTTTTGACATTAAAACTAGTGAACTTTAAATTTTACTCCTTTAACTAAATTTCATAACTCTACCCCTAAATCCATCTTCTTTTTCATTATCATCATCTCTTTATAAAAAATAAAAATCACACACCACTTTCATGAGCAATTTATATCATAACATCACCACTGTTATTTTCATTCTAAATCTCAACAATCATATTATATAATTGCATTTGAAATGATTAAATTCACTAAAAGAAAATATGAAATCATTCAAATTGCATTTTAGATGCCTTAGATAGAAAATCATTCAAACAAGTATGACCTCATAAATGATTTAAATTCAACAATAAACCGGTTGTACATAGGATCCACTATACTAAATCAATTCGTTCAGTCTGCGGCTCCACTTGACTTACTTTGGCTTGGCTCAACTGGCGGCCCTACTTTGCTGACATGGCTGCTGAATGGGCTTTCATGATATGGTACTGGTCTCAGGTCAGCCAATGTGGTTTGGGTCATGCAGCGCGTCGGCAACTCCATCGTCGTGTGTGCGCACATGCAGCCACGCTGGATGTTAGTTTTTCGCTCATTTTTCACCAGCATGTTCTTCTCGACCTCGTCGTCATGATGGCATGTTAAAAACACATTTGTGACCACTTTCATTTCTAGGCAAAAATCAAAACCTAGTGTTTATCTTCAACCATGCTCTGATGACACTGGTGGTGGGAGTGGGATTAATGAGGACGCTAGCTGGTGGTGCTTCTTAGGGAGTAATATCACACACACAAAGATGGCAGCCATTGTTGAACCCTTGATTTCAGCTTCCACGCCCCAACTCTTAGCTTATACGTCGGTGAAGAAGAAACGGCTATTGATTGGACGGTGGAGAAGAGAGATTATTTCACAACATTTTCATCTTAGATTTCTTGAACACTCAGGACTATTATGGCCATACGAGACTCTCCCTTTCATGACTTCCGTGATGCGTTAGTTTAACTGTTGGAATTTTTCTACATCTCTGTCATTATTTTTCAGGACCTGTTTATATTAATCCTTCTGCTCTGTGCCTTGTTTAAGAGAATTTAAATCATATGCAAATGGCATTTTATGAGGCCTTTTCCAAATACCTTGACCAACCCAATCTTGATAATCCTCTTAATTTTATTTTTTCCCTGTCCTTTTTACTTGAAGATCTTCAGGAAACTATTGCTGCTTTAGAAGCTACTAATCCTGAAACAAAGGCTTCAGACCCTTATAGAAGTATTATCTGCAAACTTGACATTGGCTGTGAAAATCCTTTCTGATATTATTATGAAAGCAATATTTCTTAAGGCATAGACCTTGTTTGTCACATATTGAGGAGCCTTCTCTCATTTAATTTGAAGCAATCCTGAATCCCACTATCAGTATTATCAGTAATGTCATCCACTGAAAGACCTGCCAACAATTACATCATGTCCCTCTTCTTAAAACACAACAGAAGATGGAGAACTGATGCTTGAAATGCATGTTCCATTTTCATTCAGCTTAGGCAATCATTGGTTTCTCATTGAAATGAGGTTTTGCTCAAACAAATATGATCTTCACAGGGAAATATTTAGTTATATTTTTAGTGTTTGTTACAATTCTCATTTAAACATTATTAAGGAATCTCACTTTAACTTTCATTTCCTCTGAAGTCATGCTGGCCTATAGTTCATTAGCAACCTAAATACATCTATAGCCGAACAATGTGCTTGCTTGCTTGCAGAAGGTTTTAGGTCCATCCAAATTTGACATCATATATGGTGCTAATTTAGTGTGAAAAATTTCTGGCTGCAATATTTCAGATGAACAACTATACCTATGTGAAAAGCTAACTCCCTCCTTTTCCTGCCTGTTTGCTTTTGATTGGTACCTTAGTCTCTATCGGCCAGACCTTAATCCTGATTTGGTCCTAAAACACGCAATCTGATATTTGCAAGCTCTTCCATTATGTTTGTTGAAAATGAACATGTACACATAAATCTGAATCTTTTTTAGTACATTTTGTGTTTGTTCTTTCTTGGGGTGTTTCTTCTCTTCTCTCAGATACAGGGCAGTGACGAGTGCATACTACCGGGGAGCAGTTGGTGCTATGTTAGTTTATGACATGACCAAGCGCCAATCATTCGATCACATGACTAGATGGCTTGAGGAACTGAGGGGGCATGCTGATAAGAGGATTATTATCATGCTCATTGGCAACAAGTGTGACCTGGGGAGTCTCCGAGCGGTTCCGGCAGAAGATGCTAAGGAGTTTGCTCAAAGAGAGAATCTCTTCTTTATGGAGACATCAGCACTTGAGGCTACCAATGTTGAGACTGCTTTTTTAACAATGCTGACAGAAATATATAGGATAATCAGCAAGAGAACTCTTGCTGGCAATGATGAATCGGATGAAAATTCAGGTGCTTTCAAGGGAACTAGAATTCTAGTTCCTTCACAGGAGCAGAATTCTGAAAAGAAAGGTTGCTGCATGTAATTCTAACCTCCAATTTTAACATTTGTTTGAGTTTTGGGAATCGTGTTTAATTAGGCCCCTTTTTCTAAACAATGTCACATATACTCCTTGTTGTTGACTAACAGAGCCTTGGAAGGTGGGTATCCATATTGTTGACAAACAGAGTGAGGCATTTATCAGTTGAACTGGTATCTATCTATCTATCCATTATGCTGCTGCTGCTGCTGCTGTATAATTCCGTGGACGGTGATGTTCTCACAAGATTGTCAATGCAAAATCCCTTTTTTTTTTTTTGGTGAATTTTGCTATAACATATTAAATAAGAACCAGAATATCCTACATTTTTTTTTCCATTCTAACAAACAACCCAAGCTTAAGTATCATAACAGTACAGCGGAGGCATTTTACTCTGTTAAAGCGGTTGAATGTCACCGTGGTGCTTTTTTTTTAATATTTTTTATTGAAAAATATATTAAAATAATTTAAAAATACTAAAAGAAATATTAATTTAGAACAAAAAAATAAATTTTTTAAAATATTTTTCAAACATAAAAACAAACAGAGATCAAAGATGCTTCGGAGTATGGTAATAATTATTTTTTAAATTTTTTTTTTATTTTAAAACATATTAAAATAATATTTTTTTATTTTTAAAAATTATTTTTAATATTAATATATTAAAATAATTTAAAAATATAAA